ACCAGGCCTGCAGGGGAGGACAGTTAGGGGCAATCAGGCCAGTAGGAGAGCAGTTCAGCATCAATCAGGCTGGCAGAGGAGTGGTTAGGGGTGGTCAGGCTGGCAGGCAGAAGTGGTTAGGGGCAATCAGGCAGGCAGGCAGGCAGGCAGGCAGGCAAGTGCTTTGGAGCCAGCAGTCCTGGATTGTGAGAGGGATGTCCCAAATTGGAGAGGGTGCAGGCTGGGCTGAGGAACAAGCCATACCTCCCTGGGGCACGAATTTCATGCAACGGGCCTCTAAAACAAACATAAGATGGCTGATGAAAAGCTGAGCAGAGAAAATAGAAGAAGTTTATTTACTCTTAGAAGTTTAATCAGTATGAGTAGACATTTACAAGTAATTGCTAACCTCACTAGACATGTAGATCAATTGTCAAAAAAGTACTGTTTGCATAGTCAGAACTGCTGGCTTGTCCTCATTTCAGGCACTTGGCCTATTGGAATGTCCTTAAGTTTGTTTCGTATGTGACAACAATGTCACAACCCAAATTATACTTTTCCTTGGAACTGTAGTCTTGATGAGTAAGCTTTACTCCTAGTATGTATATCAGCATGATACACATCATTACCAAGAGTTCATAATTTACCTTAGGCTTTCACTATTGGTATTGTACATTACAGATTTGGATAAATTAATAATGATATAGATCCACCTGTATAGTATCATAATGAGTGGTTTAGAGCAGTGTTTTTCAACCTTTTTTGGGCAAAGGCACACTTGTTTCATGAAAAAAATCACGAGGCACACCACCATTAGAAAATGTTAAAAAATTTAACTCTGTGCCTATATTGACTATATATAAAGTAATTCTCTTGAATAGGAATCAAATAAACACAAAGAAAGTATTTTATAATTACTTTATTATGAAATATTAAGTAAACAAAATAGTGAAAAATTATAAAATTCTTGTCTTGTCTGCACCTACGGCACACCAGGCAACATCTCTGCCACGGAACAGCGGTTGAAAAACGCTGGTTTAGAGAGAAAGGAAGGGAGAGGGAGAAAGAGAATCATCAATGTAAGAGTAGAACATGGATTGGCTGCCTCTTGCAGGATGGAGCATGCAACCCAAGCTTGTGGCCTGACCAGAACTGAACCGATGACCTTTTGGTGCACAGGTGAACACCCAACCAATTTATCCATACTAGCCAGGGCTGGCCAGTACATTTTTAAACCAAACAAAATTTATTTCTGTCAAAGCCACACCTCATTTTCATTGAAATAAATGTGTTGACAAACATCCCTGCGATAACTATCTCACTTTCTAACCCTATTTCTAATGTATTAAATAGACTCCTGTCCAGAGCACATGCCCAGGCTGCAGGCTCACTCCCCAGTGGGAGCCATGCAGGAAGTAGCTGATCCATAATTCTCTCTTATCATTGACATTTTTCTCTCTCACAAATCAATAATAAAAATGTATATATAATAGCCGAAACTGGTTTGGTTCAGTGGTAGAGTGTCGGTCTGCCGACTAAAAGGTCCCAGGTTCGATTACGGTCTAGGGCATGTACGTTGGTTGTGGGCACATCCCCGGTAGGGGGTGTGCAAGAGGCAGCTGGTTGATGTTTCTCTCTCATTGACATTTCTAGCTTTCTCTCTCCCTTCCTCAATGTAAAAAGTCAATAAAATATATATATTTAAAAGTGTATAGACAATAATAAAAAGAGAGAAAAGGATAAGCAGAAGACCTCGGCCATTTATTTTTAGGAGAGATGATTTTTAGGTATGGGTACATCTGAATCTGAAAATCTGGATAATAATTCCCTTACAAATATAACCCAGTTTAAAGATTAAAGATCTCTGTCCTTGGTTTCAGGTAGGATAAAAATATTTATATGCAGAAACTTCCTAAAATTTCTCTTATAATAAAAAAGCCAACATCTCAGTTCTGCTGAGGGAGGCAGACTGGAATCTAAAATTATATCAAATAGAACTATTCCAGGCATCAATTTTATGAGTTTTCCCTTCATTTAAGTATGAATAAAGAGAAAAGCTCTTGAAAATTTTCAATCAAAGAGCCACTAAAAAGATTAATTCACTTCAGAATGTTTACACATAGAGGGAGACACCCACACACAGACGGTAGAGCGATTTAACACGTCAAACTGACTCAATCAGCTAATACGTGCTAAACGTGAGTAAACCTTGAGCTTAGCTGCCAGCTATGATTTGTCCCAGTTAGTTAAAGCAGTAACAGTTTTTAGTCACTAAGACTTGCCTCAGCAAGTTCATACTACCTTCTTCCATAGTGTCAAAATTAGATTTAAAATTTCAAACAGCTTTAAAGATTCAGAAGCAAACAAAAATAAGAGCATCTGAATTTTGAAAAAGCAAAATACACACACACACACACACACACACACACAAATACTTCAAAAAACCAGACATGGATTCAACACAATTCTGCCACCATCTGACAAATGGCGTTCCTTAATTACTTCAAAATTCTGAGGGTATGTAATAGGGGGGAAAAATGTGTAACATCATTATCTAAACATTTTCTTTTAAAGTTGACCAAATCTCAACTATAAACAAAGGATTCATTCAAGAAGTAAGTTATGACAGCAGGTCCCTTTGTACCGTATTCAAAGTCCAATGAGAAGAGGCAGTCCTCAAGTCCAGAGGCTGAGATTAAACTTTAAGATCATAACCCTCACAATGAGCACAGCAGCCTTTCTATTAGATTAGCTATGCATTTTATGGGGAGATTAAAACAGCAACTGGATGACGAAGTTCATCAATTTGCCTCATAAAAGTACAATGGGAAACAATAACCCTAACTTTCCTTGGCAATGATGGTGGTGACAAGTTCTATCTTTAGAGAATCTAATTTTTCTCTTTTTCTCATAACTCGGGAATTGTCCAAATAAACTAATCCGGAAAGTCAAAACTGTGCTCCATAGCCCCTCCCCCATGCTCTGCCAATTCAAGGACAAGGCCCCGTGAACATGAGGACAGATCTGGCGATGCTTCTACAAGCCAAGGAATGAATGCCAAGATTGCCAGCAACGACCAGAGCTAGGAAAGAGGCCGGGGACAGATCTTTATCCAGCCGCCGAAGGAACAAACCCTGCTGAACTTTATCTCAGGACTTCTAGCCTCCAGAACTGTGAGATAATAAATATCGGTGGTTTAGGCAGTGGAGAGGGAGGAGAAGCATAAAGTATCTAAAATCAATAATCTTAAAAGAATTTGTTACTAAGTATATACCAGTTTTTGGTTTAAAATTCACTTGAAACATTTACATCCAGAAAGACCCATTTACTGAAGCTATTTCTGCTAAAGTAGCAAGTCTACTGAGCTTTATAACTGGCAGCTTCATGGCTCAGAGAACCACCTCCCCAAGGTAGATTCCTAGATTCAAGGTCCAAGGAATCTTACTTTCTTTCATTTTGAAACTGATTAGAGTGAAGAAAACAATTTTTTTAAACCAACCAACTAACCAAACAAACAAACCAGAAAACACCAGTGAAAGAAGAAATAGAATTATTATAGCTGACTAGCCAATCAGCAGTTATGCAATATATAGTTTGACCAAACTGTACATAAACAACCTAAAAATATGTAAACCTGGCTCTATAAACTTCCAACTGTTTGTATCTCCCTTATCATTCCGATCAAATCCAACACACATAATAAGAATTTAAATATGCTGTATTATCTCTGAACTTAACAGTTTGCTTACCAGAATGCTTAAAACAAGATTTTGGGTCTATCTTTCAGACTATATGAAAACTGATTCTGGATCTTATTTTTATTTGGCTGATATTTATAATCCTTAAAGACATCATTATTTTAGTTACTAATAATTTCCAGATTTTAATATTATTTACATGGGCAGACCATCCTACCAGTAAATGATAAAGTATATTTCTCTTTAAGACAACAGATCTCAAAGTTTTTGGTCTACAGTTACCTTAAGCAGATAGGTAGTTGGGAAAGGACGTATTTTAATAGTTTTTTCAGATAATTATGGATATTCTTCTTTGATACTGCACTAAAACTTGGTAAGTAATTGTTCCTTAATGATTAGTTACAAGGACTCCAGTCCCAAAGTCTTCAGGTCCTAGAGTGGTCCGTAACCACATTTTGAAAATGGCTATTGTGCCCAGCCAGTGTGGCTCAGTGGTTGAGTATCGACCTATGAACCAGGAGGTCACGGTTCATTTCCCAGTCAGGGCACAGGCCTGGGTTTCAAGCTCAATCCCACTGGGGGTTGTGCAGGAGGCATCTCTCTCATCACTGATGTTTCTCTCTCTCTCCCTCTCTCTCTCTCTCTCTCTCTCTCCCCCCCCCCTTCTTTTCCCCTTACTCTCTGAAATCAATTTAAAAAAATATTATTTTAAATGCCTATTGTTTGAAACCATTAACTCTATGTGATCACAAAAGTGACTAAAAAGTGATTAAAATGTATTAATTACAGAAAAGGCTAATGAATATGAATATGGGAAAGGGTGGTAAGAGATGGTACAGAATAGACTAAGTCTTAAGTCTATTTAAACTACATATACATGTATTTAATAGTTTGATAAAAATTGTAATGTATAACTGCTATTATAAAACAAAATAACTAATATTTCCTTTCCTTTAAGAGTTCCCTGGTCCTCCCCACATTTTCTTTCTTTCTTTTTTATAAAATATATTTTATTGATTTTTTTACAGAAAAGGAGAGGGATAGAGAGCTAGAAACATCGATGAGTGAGAAACATCAATCAGCTGCCTCTTGCACACCCCCTACTGGGGATGTGCCCACAACTAAGGTACATGCCCTTGACCCTTCAGTCCACAGGCCGACGCTCTATCCACTGAGCCAAACCGGTTTCGGCAGATTATCTAGTTTTTACTAGAAGTTGGAAAGTATGCTTGTCAATTCCAGGTTATATTCCGGAATACCTGTAACTGATCTGTTTTTGACCCACCTAAGTGGGCCATTTCAAATGATGAATACATGATCTACCTTATTCCAGAATCTGAAGATACGGAGTGGCTGGATTAAATTGACAAATAGCTGTGCTGTTAGGATTGTGCTCTTTATATTACTTTGAGTATAAATGAGTATTTGAATATAACAGGTGGTATTTCTCCTAGAATCTACTTCTCTTCCAGTAATCTGAAGCCTAATGGGGAAAATAAGATTACAACTCATTAAAAGATGAAACAACCAAGAAAGCCTTTTATTTTCTTGCAAAAATCTGAGTTAAGCTATTCACTCATAGAAAAAATTAACTCTATACTTAGTTTCACATAAAAAATACCTTAAGTTTTGAGGACTAGAGACAACATAGTAATATACATTTTATAAATACACCAGAGGCCCAGTGCACAAATTCAAGCACAGGTGGGGTCTGACTGGCCCACCCCAATCAGCAGATTGGGGCTGGATGGCCCCGCTCCCTGATCCTGCTGGTTCACTGGCCGCAGTGGGCGTCATAGCGACTGGTCATTCTGGTTGCTGGCTTTTTGTATATATAGATAATTACAAGTACAGTAGGTCCTTGGGTTACATCGGAATCCGTTCCTATGGCAAGACATAAAGCAATTTTCACCATAAGGAACCCCCCTACATAAGCACCTCTGTCACTTGTAATACATGAGCACACACATAGCAGTAATGAAGTGAACAGTACAAAAAAATTTAAAAGATAACAAAAACATAAAGCACATGTGTCGAAATAATGGAACTTTCTTTTTTTTTAAATAAATAAATGGGAGATGGCGACGAACCCTGAGATGACATATGTCGAGTCTGACACAACCCAAGGACTGCCTGTACTCTTTTTTTTTTTTTTTTTAAATATATTTTATTGATTTGTTACAGAGAGGAAGGGAGAGAGCTAGAGAGCTAGAAACATCAATGAGAGAGAAACATCGACCAGCTGCCTCCTGCACACCCCCTACCGGGGACCGCAACCAACATACATGCCCCTGACCGGAATCGAACCTGGAACCTTTCAGTCCACAGACCGACGCTCTACCACTGAGCCAAACCGGTTTCGGCGACTGCCTGTACTCTTTACAAACAAGTACTGACTGTCATGACAGAGGAAGTATAGGTTTCTATGGGGGAAAATATGTAGGTGTGAGAAGACACCCAATTTAGTATGGATAGAAGCGATCTGAGCAGGCCTTTTGGAGCAGATGCTACTTAGCCTGCGACTTGAAGGATAAACAAGAGCTAGGCAGGCCACAGAGTGAGGTGGAAAGAGCATTCTCAGACACAAGTACTGAGCTACAGAGTGCAGGGTGCATCGGAAAACCTAAAAGAACTTTACCAAAGCTAAAGAGGGAGCGGAGAGAATGGGGTGAGATGGAAAGTTGGATCAATAATCTATCAGTTAGAGGAAAGCCTGAAAGTATTTTAAGAAGCCACCCTGGTCTTAAATCTAATCGAAAGCAGTTTATGGGGTTGTAAGTGGGGCTGGAGTCAGCATGCTCAGGTTTTGCATTTTCAGAACATCACTCTTTATACAAGGTGGGGAATGGGCTGGAGGGAGGCTGTGGGAGTGCTGTAGGACCATAGCGATAGGTAAGGTGGACGGTAGTGGAAGAATGAGAGAGTGGAAACAGACAGGATTCAGTGGTGGACTGGAAGTGAGAGACTGGGGAAACCAGCAGTTAATCTCCCAGCCCTGGCTGGGTAGCTCAGTTGGTTAGAGCATTGTTCAGGTACTATGTCAAGATCACATGTTCAATACCCAGTCAGGGCACAAACAAGAATCAGCCAATGAATGCATAAATAGGTGAAACAAGCAAATTGATTTTTTTTCCCTTCCTTAATCTCAAATCAATAAAAATTAGAAATCTCTCAGGTTTCTAGCTTGAACAAATAGGAGTTTATGAGTTTACTAGGTGGTATTTGTCTCCATTTAACCACAGGGACATTAAGAAGTTGTGTGACCAGCCCAGGGCTGCTCGGCTTCTAAGGCTTGGAAATAAAACTCAAACCCATTCCTGTCCTCTGTTTTTGTTGATGTTATTGATAGTGATGGTTTTTCTTCTTTTTTCCTTCCAAACAATTTATAATGGCAAATTTAAAGCACAACAGAGAGCCGCTACCTGTTTCATCCACACTCCTACCTACTCAACCCTCCCTCAATGCCTTCTGGATTATTGTATAGCAAATCCTATTTCATCTACAAATATTTCAGTATATCTCTAAAAGATATGACAATTTAAAAAATCATAACAATCATAACAACCATTATCCCACCTTTAAAAATTATCATCACCAAATAAACAGGCGATGTTCAAATTTTCCTAACTTGTTTTTAAATAATTGGTTTGTTTTTATTTGGGCTATAAACAAAGTCACACACTACATCTGGTTAGTATATCTTTTAATCTACTGGTAAAGGTTCCTCCTTTCTGTATTTTCCTCATAATTTGTTGAAGGAACCAGATTATTTTTCCTGCAGTTTCCCTCATTCTGGATTTTGTTGAATGTGACCTTCTGGTATACTTTTAACATGTCCCCGTTTAGCATGCCCTCCTACCCCCTGTATTTCCTACAGATTGGTAGCTACATTGAAGGCTTTGAGCATGCTTAGATCAGTTCAGCTTTGATTTCTTGAGAGAAGCGATGGTGTGGGGAGGGGGCAAAGATAATTCATAGGTGGTGGAATGTATATTCTATCACACGGTGTAGGGTATGAGGTTTGTATTAACGTCATTCTGTTGTATAATGTCCTAGTTCCATTGTTTTATTAGAGGTTTGCAAATAGCAATAATTTAACTGTGCCTATAATTTCTTTAAAGTATATTTTATTGATTTTTTTACAGAGAGGCAGGGAGAGGGATAGAGAGTTAGAAACATCGATGAGAGAAACATCAGCTACTTCCTGCACAACCCCCACTGGGGATATGCCCACAACCAAGGTACATGCCTTGACCAAAATCGAACCCGGGATCCTTTAGTCAGCAGGCCGACACTCTATCCCCTGAACCAAACCCGTTAGGGCATAATTTTAACATTTCTTCTTAACTGGTTAACTAAAATGACTTAATAAAGAGGAAGGGCAAGTTAAAGTTTGTGTGCTTTAATGCAAATGATTGAGACTTATTTTTTTGGGGAAATCTCTAGCTGTAATCAGATTACAGATTTTAAATTCCTTGAAGATAGGGATTGGCTCCTCTTTTAATTGATCTTTTCCAATTACGTCAGACATTTCAAACTTCTATGTGCTTTTGAAGGTCATTTTCTCTGCCTGTTCTCAGCTTCCCTTTATAACCCAAACCTAGTCTTTCCTTCTGTCTACCATTCTTCCGAGCACCTGGCCTAAAACCTCTAGGTCATGTTAGTACTTCTCCAGTGGGGTCCCTGCCCTATCAATGCAATTAACCCTTTGTTATCTCTTGTGTCCATTCCTGCCCCCTTTTTCATTCTTATTACCGTTACCCGGTTTAGGTTGCTGCCACGATTGGTGCGGTGGCCTCTTACCTGCTATCACTGACATTCCCCTTCTCCAATCTGTATTGTAATATGCTGCCAGTTCTGACTTTGTCATTTCTTTATATATATATATATAAATAAATAAAAACCTCAGGGCTTTCTAGTGCTTACCACATATAGTATTTGTCTAGATTGATTTAAGTCTGCTATAATTATGGCTTCAAGTTACTTTTTTAAGTTGTATACCTTTATTTTTCCTTTTATTTGCCCTGGCAAATGAATATTTTATTCCATGCTCTTTCCCTGCAATTTCCCCCTTTTCCTTTTTGATGGTAGGATTCATTTTATAATGGATCTGTATGGCAGAAGACTAGCATAGGCCACAAGTTTGAGGCCTGGTATTATGGATGAAAAAAAGATTTCTGTGGAAAGTAACTTTGTAGGATAATCTGATCATAAATTCCTAACTGGGCAGGTTATGGTCATGCCCCAAGTATATTACATTTAGTAAAAGCTTTTATCTTTGCCTTAAGCAAACCCTGTCCATTGCTTTGTGCTCAAACTCATAAAAATTCTCAACAGGTTTGGACATTTCTTACTTGACAGTATCATGCAGAGCAGTGATCAAAAGAGCAATAATGATCTTATGGAAATGGTGTTTCTCTTTGGGGGCCACAGTATACACCGTAACAGCAGGAGTTCACATCTCCTGAAGATGCCACTGATCATTTATGCAGAGGTAGGAAACAGCTCTGCTGGTAGCCATTACCCTATTGCTAACCACAATAGCTCATAATTTTGTTGAATCTGACTTGATTACTATGACTTAGCCTTTATATAAAGAAGAAACTGCTCAGAATACACAGGCATTATAAGTTATATATTTGATCATTGATTGATACTCTATTGTGGGTGGAATTCAAGGAGTCTGTGAACTGGGTTGGGGTAAAAAAATTACATTAAAAGATCTTTCAGTTAGCCTCTAAGTAAAGTTTAGAATTAATTTCAACTGTGAATGTAGGCAACAAACCATAGCAGCATTAGCATTATCTGTGACTTTGTCACCTACAGAAAACACATTTTTATATCCTGATTCAGTGGCTACAGTGATCTTGAAATTGTTTAATATCACTACTTCAAAATTACTGTAGACCTATTACAAGATCGTATCTGTTATTTTATTTTTTATTTTTTTATTTTTTTAAAATATATTTTATTGATTTTGTACAGAGAGGAAGGAAGAGAGATAGAGTTAGAAACATGATGAGAGAGAGTCATCGATCAGCTGCCTCTTGCACACCCCCTACTGGGGATATGCCCGCAACCAAGGTACATGCCCTTGACTGGAATCGAACCCGGGACCTTTCAGTCCCCAAGCCGACGCTCTATCCATTGAGCCAAACTGGTTTCGGCCGTATCTGTTATTTTTAAAAGCACTTAATATCCAATTAAAATCATTAGACAATTCTACCTTTGTGTTTTACTTTATGCATTTAAAAACATTATTCTGACAAGGACCCCATAGGTTTGAACAAACTGCAAAGGAATCCGTGGCAAAGAGCCACCGAAGGATGCCTGCTCCTAACTCTTGTACTGATGTGCGAGTGAAGTTAACCAGAACCTGATGCAACACACACGGAACGATGTCACAGCCTTATGTAATCATGTCGTCACAGGTTATGTAGATCTTTGGCCATTGACCTTTGTGTACTAAATCAGAGATTCTGATCTCACAGATGAGAGGGAACAAAATGCAAAGGAGAATATAAAAATTTTCACAAGTTCAGGCAGAATGATTTTCCTTTGCATTGAGGAACTACATGTTTATATAACTTAAACAAAAACAATGGGCACCTTCACTGACTGGGGGATCTTCTGGCCCTCTTTTGGGTACATCAGCAAAAGTGCTTGAAATTGCTTCAAATCTTGTTTTTAACAGCTTGCTACGATGGATGCAGGCCTTTGGTTTGCTCAACTAGGGGAACCCTAAAGAGGTCGATGTACCTCAGGTTTGAAATACTTGCTCTGTAGATTAGAAATACACATCCCTATTATCAGTCTACCATGGCTGTGTGTAATGTTTGTATTTACTCTGTCACCTAGAAAACTACTTAATGGAGAAGAGGGAAGAGGAGTGGTTTAACAATTACTGTAGTTTCCAAGAAAATAAAGCACTCATTTGAAAACTCTTTCTAATAAAGGAACTGATAATTATCTCAATGACAACATAGTCTTAATATTTATATGTATTGTCAGCAACAAAAAAGACTAAGTTTAACTGTGGTGTATTTTGAGGTAACAATGCTGACTTCTTTTTGATACATCTTTAGGGTCTAAAAAAAAATCCTTAAAAATAAAAAGTTATCAATGATGGATAATGCTTCCATACTAGATCAGTGATTTTCAACCCTTTTCATCTCATGCCACACATAAAGTGATCACTAAAATTCTGTGGCACCCAAAAAAAGTATTTTTGCTGACCTGAAAAAAAATAGGTCTAATTTTGATTTGTTCACACTAGATGGTTATTGTTGTGTTGGCTGTTCTTTTTTTATTTGACAATCAGGGAAAAGAGGTCAGTGCCCCTGACTAAATATTCAGGTATTGCATGTTTTTTAAAAATTCTTGCAGCACACCAGTGTGCCTCTTGCGACACACTGGTTGAAAATTGCTGTATTAGACAAACAATACTCAATTTTAATACACTTTTGTGGTTTGTTACTAATCAAAGAAAACTTAGTTCTTTATGCTACCTTTGATCCTCATTATCACAATTATATTCAGATTCCTTCAAGGGATATTAATTAATAAACAATTACTATGTGTATAAGAATTTACTAGAAAGGGAAAGAAATATTTATTTCAAAATATGGTTTGAAAACTTTTAGAATGAGAATAAAGCTTTGAAAGGAAATTTTACATCCCAAGACTCTCATAGTGCCTGGTAGCTAATAGCAAATTGCAGTATACATAAAAATTCACAATTTTCTCACACTCTTCATCTGCAACAAAAACAGGAATGGCCATGTAGGCATTTACAGGGACTTAAATCTTGCATAGGAATGCAAATTATGAAGTGGATTGAAAACACAATGGAAAAGAAGGACATAAACTGGGAAAAGTTATCAACCAAAAATATCACATTTTAGTGTGAAATAATTTATACCCATATTTGTAATTTTAGAGAAAGCTCAGGAATGCACATCTGATTCAATGGGAGTCAAAATACATAATTCCCACCAAACCATTAACAAGATTTCAGAACTAAGATTACACATCACAAACTCTCCAACGTGTTTCCTAATCCTATCTATATAATAAAAAGCCAATGTGCAAATCGACGGACCGGGGAACAACCAGCCATTATGACTTCGCACTGAGCACCAGGGGGCAGACGCTCAATGCAGGAGCTGCTCCTGGTGGTCTGTGCGCTCCCAAGGGGGAGTGCCAGAGCCCTGAGCCCAGCTCAAGGCTGGTGAGCACGGCAGCAATGTCTCCCGCCTGTATTGCAGCGCTAAGGTATCCAACTGCAGGCGTAGGCCTGCCCCCCTTCAGGTAGGTCCCCCCTAAGATAGCCCCCCACCCCCGCAGTGCGTGAATTCCTGCACCGGGCCTCCAGTCTGAGATATTAAGGGAACCTCACTGTTCATTAAGATCTTTTCCAGAGCTTATGGGTTACAACTGAAACACTAATCTGTTGTTTCATCCTACATTGGTGTGACCCCTCCACCACCCTTTTCCATCTGTTTAGGTATGTTATGATTGTGTTAAGTTTACAGAGGAACCTTTAAAACCCATTTCCGCTACTAAAATCTCACAAAAATGCTCTCCAGACCAGAACTTTGCAAAAGTCACTGCAACCCGATGAAAGAAATGAAGGAACGGCATCTTTACTGTTAATTCCTGAAGCATGTTCAACTTCCAAGCAGCACCCACTACCTGTTTTAAGGGCCAGATGTCTGGAATTCTTTACCTATGTGTGGCAATCCGAAGGCACACTTGTACCCCAGGGGGCGAGAGTTGCATTTACAGGTACCACTTCACGCTCCACTAAAAAGCTGACGACACCCAGCCCGGGGCGGTGAGCCGCCATCGGCCTTGCGAACGCCCAATTCCCGCTCCCAGTGCTGCCCAGCTCGCGCGGGACGCCGGGTTCACCCTATCAGCACGGCCCAGCAGTTCTCAGCGCTCCCACGCTCATTTTATCGGGGCACTGGCTCTGCACACATTTCAGTTATTTTTTTTGAAACCAGACCATTTGAAGAAGAAGAAGGAAAAAAAAAATCTTCAAAACTGGTTGTGATCAAGGAGCCTGTAAACATGTTTTCACTGTGGTCAGCAGACGCTGGGAGCTCGGCTGCGGCGGGAAGGCGTCTGCGAGGATGAGTTCATTTACAAACTAGTTTCAGCGGCCGCTGGCCGCGACAAAAGAAATGCGGCGTTCGCAGGCAGCACGTGGGGAGGAAAGGATGCGCTTGGGACACAAAAAATAAAAAAAAATAAAAAAAAAGAGCGTGCCTCCGGCCCCGGGTACCGCCGCCCTCCTCCTCCTCCTCCTCCAGGTTCCCGGGCCGCCCCGCAGCCACAGGTTGGATGACAAAGAGCCCGGTCGGCAGAGTCCGCCGAACCCCGCCGGCCCCGCGCCTCCGCCCGGGGTCACCCGGCGGGACGCGGCTCGGCGGCGGCCGCGGGGCTGGGACGGGCACTCCGGCCCGCGTTCTCTCCCGGGGCCGGGGGTCCGCAGGCACCACGTGAACCAGCCCCTCGTCGTCCCCTTTGAACACATGTTCTCCTCAGACCCAAGGCATCTCTTACGGCGCCTCCCGAAGGCGCGCGGGGCAGCCACTGGCCCAAGGTCACCCGGCACCACGACCCAGCTTCCCGGCCAGGCGGGTGCCGGCACCTGACCGCGGAGCCGCAGCCCGGCCGGGAGGCGCCGTCCCCGGAGCGCCTCAAGGTCTCCGGCCCCAACCGCTCCGGGGCCACGCGGCCGCCCGCCGCCGCCCGCCGCCCGCCGCCGCCGGGGACCCAGTCTCCGCTCCCCCGGGGCTGCCTGCGACCCCACAGGCGGCGGCCGGGGCACCCCGGGGTCCGCGCCCGGCGCCCGGCCATGGCCCCACTAACCGTTATGTGCGGCTCCGGCGGCGGCGGCGAGCGTGTGCGTGACGCGGCGGCGAGGCCGGAGTCCCGCGAGGCCCTGGGCCCGGTCGCGTCCTTCGCCCGCCGGCCCGCCCGCCGGCCCGCCCGCTCCCTCGTTGGCTCCCTCGGGCACCCACGCGGCGCGGCCGGTCACGTCGCCGCACGCCAGCACTTCTGCGGGCTCGGCCGGCGGGGCGGCTTTATAACCTGCGGCGCGGGGGGGGGGGGGGGGCCGAGCATGCGCACAGGGGGCGGAGCCGGCCTGCCAGCCGCGCCCCCTCCCCCCGGCGCGTCCACCCCACCAGCCGCGGGCGCCTCCGTCCGCACGCTCCCGGCGCCGCGCGCTCCCGTGCGTCCCCGTGCGCGCGCCGGCGCCCCCTCCCCGGCACGTGACCCGCAGCCCCGCGAGACCCGCGAGGCCCGCGCGCCGCGGCCCGGCTCAGCGGCGCCCGCACGGCCGCGCGACCCGAGGAGCTAGTGGTCCCTCCGCCGTCGAAGGAGGCTGGACGCGGTCGTCGGCCTCTCCTCCAACCCCTTCCCCGGTGTCTGGCGAAGAAATGGGGGAAAGCCGCCGAGGACGGACGGACGGACGGACGGTCGGAGGGAGGCGGCGCGGCCCGGGGCCTGGCTCGGGGGCGCGGGGCGGGGGGCGGGGGGCGGCCGGCGCGCAGGGCCGGGCCGGGCCGGTTTGAATGGACGGCGCACCTGGGCCGGGAGAGGAGAGGCGGGCGGGGACCTGGCCGCGGCCCCGCTGGAGCCCAGGGACTCCGGGAAGTCATTCCAGCCCTCGGGGCCCGTTTCCTGTTCTCCGTAGCGGCGGCCCGCGCTGAACCGACTCTCCGGGGCCGCGGTGGTTTTGACGGGAGAATTTATGGCGCTTTCGCCTGCGGCATTGGATGGATGGATGAATGGTGGGTGTTAACACACGAGCCAGGAGAGCAGGGCGGGTCTGAGGGCGACCACTCCGGCCCCGAGAGGGAGGACCGGTGAGAAGGCAGCGGGGCCGAGCCCCATGGACGCCGCGGGCCTGGGACAGAGCATGACTGCAGCCGGTGGCTTCCAAGGGCAGATGACGGCCGCAGCCATGCACCTGAGCTGTCCTCACCTGCCTGTCCCTGGGAGGCAGGCGTCCCTGGACCAGGATGGGGGCCTGGCCCGGAGCAGCCCCGCCTCTCCAGCCTGCCGTGGGGGGCGGGGGGGTGTGCTGGCCTCGGGGCACGAAAGATGATGTCACAGCATGCGTCCAGGTGGTTTTGAGGGTCCATTAGCTAAGGCTGGGGACAGCGAAGCGAGGAGGGGGGTCTAGGATGGAGGAAGCCGCAGGGGGATGCTCACTGCCAAGTGGGAGAAGAGGTGGGCCTTGGAGAAAGGCTCAGGGGTTCAGCCCCCCTGGTGGCAAGTCTCTGTGGGACCCATGGAGTTGAGAGATGCACACGCCCGGGGAAGGAGAGGGGGGCAGGGAACGGTCCTTTGTTTTGAGGGCAATCTGTCTCTTGTTGGCGGGAATTTTAGGGGAGGTCTGGGGGTTGGGGGGTTTCAGAATATTCACCCGTCTTCCAGGGTGCTCTTTCAGGGTCCTGGTCTCTACTGAGACCAGCACCAGGGTCATTCATCATTGCAGTCGGTCCTGGTGTCGTGGGTTTTGCAGCTTTTCTGGGCCTGGAGTTGAACTACATACAACTGAGGCCCAGATGTCCCCTCTAGTGAGGCGGCCTTCCCTATCTGACTGCAAATTGCTCGGTCAGTTTGTTCCGCTATCTGTCTCAGTTTCCCCATTCTACCTGCCGAGGGATTTTCCTGGCTTCTTTCTTCTTACTGCCTCACTACTGCTCTTTTACCAATAAGGAGCCTGAGGCTCAGAGAGGTTAAGTAACGTTTCAGAGGTCACACAGCTAGTAAGTGGCCAGCTCCAGTCCAGGGTCTGATTCTGTCATAAGAACCAGTGTAGGTTCTTGAGCAAGACCAGATACCAGAGTGTGTAATTACGGAGTGTCTGTGGCATCCAGGACTTTTGAGAAATGTCAAAAATGTACGAGCCTAGGCCCCTGCCTTTCAAGAGCTTCCAGGTTGTTTGGGGAGGTTGGGTCTGGCAGAAATCAGCCAGGATCTGATGAGCACTTGCTGTGTTTCCCAACCTCCCCTTCCCTGTAGGCACACCCTCCCCTCTAATTCTTAGAACTCTCTGGGGTTGGCCTTACCTGTTTTGCAAATGAAGAACTTGAGATTGTGGTGGAGTGGGGGTGAAGGATCCAAGTCTGAGAGCTCCATGTGTGTTCTTCCCACCCACTGCATTGTGTCTCTTACACACCTCAGAAAGTTCAGCTTTGTAGTAGAACATAATTTAAAAATTAAAAAAAAATATATATTTTTTAATTTCAGGGAGAGATACAAAGGTCAATGATGAGGGAGAATCATTGATTGGCTGCGTCCTGCATGCCCCCTCCTGGGAGCTGAGCCCTGAAACGCGGGCATGTGTCCTGCCTGGGAATTGAACGGTGACCTCCTGGTTCATGGAGTGGTGCTCAGCCACTGGGCCCCCCTGGCTGGGCTGATAGAAGACGGTTTAGAATATATGGCCAAGTGCTGCTTATGAGCAATAATTGCTTTTGACCCTTGACAAATGCTGAGAAGGGCAAGGCGCTTCAGGTCATTGTGGGGACTGGGACTTGGACAGCAGCGCTTTAAGATTGTTAGGGCGGCAGCGGCCTTCAGGACAGATAATAGGAGAGTTGAGTTAAGGAGACGAACTAGGACTGGTTCAGACCTGAACCCATCAGGGCCTGGACTGTGGTTGTGTAATGGAAATAAGATGACTCCCAGGAAACCCCAAAAGAAGACCTAGGGGAGCGCAGTGTGGTAGGTTTGCGATATGGACCTGGAAGCCTGCTCTCTTGGGTTTCAGCTTGGCACTCACTAGCCCTGTGGCCTCAGGGAACTCATTTTATCTCCCTGAGCTTCATTCTCTGCTGTCAGACAAGCATTGTGTCTGCCTCGTAGGGTTGTTATGATAATAAAATCAGTATCTACTTTAGTGTTCAGCATATAGTAAGCACTGAGTAAACATATAACCATGGAAAACCATAAAACTAAATTCTGAAGATTAACCTTCAAGGCCCTCACTTAATACCACCCCGAGAAGGGTCCTAACAATCTGTTCACGGGATCTTACTCAGTGTACATTGTAGTTTTGCGTTCCTTTGCTTGAAGATGTCACTAAAATTATATATGCCCGAGGCCCCACAAAATCTGGATCTGCCCCTCGTAGGAACTGTGCTGTTGTGAAAAGATCAGAAGGCTTGTTCCCATAACTTACTATCTGTGCTTTTCTGGGCCTGGAGTTGAACTACAACTGAGGCCTAGATGTCCTGTCTAGTGAGGCGGCCTTCCCTATCTGACTGCAAATTGCTCGGTCAGTTTGTTCCACTACCTGTCTCGGTTTCCCCGTTCTACTTGCTGAGGGATTTTCCTGGCTACTTCTTACTGTCTCACTACTGCTCTTTTACAAATAAGCAGCCTGAGGCTCAGAGAGGTTAAGAAACTTTCCAGAGGTCACACAGCTAGTAAGTCGCCAACTCCAGTCCAGGGTCTGATTCTGTCATAAGAACCATTGTATAATAGATCCTTCAACTATAATGAATGTAATAATAAGGCACATTTAATTTTTAAATAATTATCTAAAATGAATTTAGATTCAGTGAACTATTCTGGGCCTCAGTTTCTTTTCCAGGTAAGTTGAAGATAATATCTACCAGCCTGAGCTTACAAAAATGATTGGTAAAACTTGGAAAGCACTCTATAAGTGTTTACAAATCAATATTATTACAGTTTGCCCATAAAGCATATAAGAAACAAAGATCAAGAGCAACACTGTGGTTTTTAGCTTAAAAAGTAGAAACAGGGCGAGTGAGCTGGCAAAAATGATGTAACGATACAGATAACATTCTTGCTTTTCTGCCAGGTTTTCTTTCTGATTAATGCATAAAACATTGAAGAAATAAACTAATAAGCATGGGATCAGAAATGTAGAGCTGAGAGGAGATTCAGAATCATTGAGAATACACTACACACACACACACATTGAGAATACACTATACACACACACACACACACACACACATTGAGAATACACTATACACACACACACACACACACACACACACATTACGAAATGGAAATTAAGGCCAAGAGGCTAACATACTTTCCAAGGCCACCCATGTAATAAATGGCTTGGTCAGAAGAACCAGTTCCTCTGTAACAAGTGAAGTCTTTAAATGAAAGTATTTCGTTCTGGGTCTTTCAAAATCAAGTATGGTGCTTGCTCTCTAGTGACTTTTGGTTTTGTCACAACATTCCCGAGATTCGTTTTTTTCTTTTAAAGGTTGACAGACTGGATGAGGCGTGGGTAATCTGCCGTTCACAAGCTGACTCAGCAGAACTGAGGATTTCAAGGTAAGAGCTATAGCTTCAGAAATTAGTAATGGGAGAAGCAGGGTAAATGTAAAATTTGAAAAGTCCTAACAACTAGTTCTGATTCAAGCTGTGAAAGATAATCACTATGTGGAAAGGAGAAGAATAAAATTACCAAGTTTTTTCCTCTGGAACTCCACTACTTCACGTACATTCTCTCAGTTATTCCATTATTTCTGTGAGGTAGAAAATAGGAAGTACTATTATCCCCATTTCACCAAACAAACTAGAAGAGGATTCTTTTAAGACACAATAATACTTAATCAACTAAGAGCACTCCTCCATTTATAATTTAATAAGGAAAATGAAATTTTATTTTGTACCATATGTGAAAAAGAAGTCTGCAGGTAAATGCCTAGGATAAAGGAGATAACGCCGATTCTAGAAACACTGTTTCTTTAAAGTAGAGAATTCTCATTCAGAATATCTGCCTCTGGATTCATGTGTCAAGTGTAATCCTGCCGCTTCCCAAGGGCTGGGTCTGAGATGAACTTGAGGGAGATGCCCTCCAAGCCCCTCCCTGTTTCTCCTGGGCTCTTCTCGCTCTGCTTTGACCTTTCACTTAATCTCACCGGCCTGCACTTTGGCATCCTAATCAGTTGGCTTCCCTGGCTTTCTTTTAGCAGGAGATAATTTGGTCAACAGAATTTGGTAGGAAACAAATTAGGTGCAGTAAAAAATTTCATCAGTATGCAAGTTAGTCAAAAATGTTTTT